CACACACACACACACACACACACACACACTTACGCCCCCAGGCGCACATTTCTAAAGGGTTAATGGTTGAGTGAAATCGGGCGTGAAAACCAGATCTGTGGGTTCGACCGCCGGCAGTACGGCAGTACGGTTGCCGCGGCGGCGACGGTGAAAGCTCCATGAACACACGCCCATCCGTTCGTTCATTTCGTCGGTCCGTCGCTTGCGACAATCTCGTGTTCATCGTCCGTTGTCCATCGCCGTGGCGACCGGATGGGATGAGCTCGGCGGGATGCTGCGTGATGAACGGGTACGTATGCTGATCGTCGCCGCCAGAGTGCGCCGCCACCAGGGTGCGCTGTCGCCAGGGTGCGCCGCCACCAGGGTGCGCCGCCACCAGGGTGCGCCGCCACCAGGGTGCGCCGCCACCAGGGTGCGTCGCCACCAGGGTGCGCTGCCGCTAAGGGACGCCGATGGAGACAACGCAAACCGTTGCTGGACTAATCTCGCTAACGCCGTTTCTTTGTTTCTTGCAGCTACCAACAGAGGGCGCAGCCGCAGCACGACGTGCCGCGGGGCCCGGCGGAGATTCCGGACTCCAGCCCCGACCCCGTCCCGGTTCAGGTACGCGATGATGCAGAACCGAAACAAGTGAGCGTGCGTGGGTGAACGAATTCGAGGCAGGTCTTGAAGAGCGCAGTGCAGAGCGAGAATTTTGCTGCTAGGGGGCTCTGAGCTACACGAGTGTGATCACTAGAGGGCAGTATAGATCAAAGTTGTGCCCACTACAGGGCAGCGCATAAATATCTGCATTTGTCGCGGTCGTTGTTAACGGCACTGCGGCGTTATCTTCGCAGGAGGAGTACGAAGATGCTGGCGTTACTATGGATCCGGGCGTTACCATGGATACGGCGACGTACCGCTACCTGGTGCACGATCTCGGCGGAGTAACGAACATGCTGCTGAAGCTGAAGACTCTCCTGCAGGAGGTAACCGTGGCAACGGGGAAGAATGGTAGCATCGTCGTGGCGTCCTAGCGAGGCGGCGACGATTCTGTTCATTTTTCGCTTGAGGATCGGATTACGTCTGTTCGTATCGAGAAAATGTTTCGCGATGTTGTAGTTAGCTGTTTTTCTAGATAAAATAGACATGCACCCACGCATACACACACATAGATATACAGATGTAGATGTACATACATAGATAGGTAGGTAGATAGATGGATGGATGAGTAGATAGATCGATATTATATATATATAAATGCATATATGTGTGTATATAGATAGATAGATGGATAGATAGATACACAGATATAGATGTATATATATGTGTGTATAATATATGGATAGATAGATATAGATGTATATGTGTGTATATATATGGATAGATAGATAGATAGATA